AACACAGTTACGGAGATACATAAATAGTTTTTTCATTATTAGATTCATGTGGTTCCGATATATATATATTTATTTGCATCAGCTACCTATATGATCGTCCTAGTGCGTATAATTTAATTTTATTGTATATTATATTATTATTACATCAGTGAAATTACATTAGAAAACAAAGATCAGTTTATATTTCCAAAACACCACCACCAAGTTTAATTAAAAAATATGTAGAATATGTCCCCACAGACGGTGGGGTGTTACTGAACATTTGATTTTTATCAATTTCGTAGATTTATGTAACTCTGTGTAATCAACAACTCCCGCAAGAAAACTGTGTAAAGTACTTGGGAATACACCTTGATAGGAGACTTTATGGAAACTACACATACAGAAGAAGAAAGAAGAAATCCACCTGAAATACAGAGGACTCTACTGGGTGCTTGGCAGAAATTACAAACTGTCAGTAGATAATAAGCTACTCATCTACGAAATGCTCCAATTTGGACAAACGGGATTCAACTATGGGGTTCGGCGTGTGACTCTAACATAAGTATCATACAGAGGGTTAAAAATTACATCTTGAAACAAATATCCAACTGTCCGTGGTTTATAAAAACATCGGAGATTCATGAGCACCTCAAAATCAGGACTGTCACTATCTGACTGTCGGACTGTCTCGATGGAGATTTTGCTCTGAACGCCTAACAGCTCTCAACACATCTGCTCATAGTCTAGCTGACTGATTGCAAGATAAAGACTTATAAAAAAAAAATTCGTAGATCATTTTTGTGATAGACTTAATATTATCAGTCCCTTATCCTATCAATTCTAATGCATAGAAAAAACCATGATGCGTTATCAACGTGGTTGTTGTTTAAAAACTATTTTTATGTTCTCTATCTTGCAGTCATGGAATATAAAAAAGGGAAGGGTAACTCACAGTAAACGTGTCGCAAATCATTCCATTAATATATGTATATGTAAACTGAAATTATGGAGTAACGACTCCAATTACACTCATTTAAGAATTCGACAAAAGAGGGTCTTAATTTTCTCTTCCATGGCTGCAGGATCATATAAAAGTCGTAGCAATATGACGTAGGTCTGTGCCCTACTCGTAGAGTTATTACCTACATACTTCTACTCAACGTCTAAGACATATACAAACAACAAAAGTACCTACTTTGTTGGAACGCTAACTGCCGAAAAATTCCATTAAATTTACTGAATTCTTAATTTGAACATTTAAAAAGTTTTAATGAAATTGATTGAATTTCTATTTCTTTTTATGCTTTAATCAAATAAATATTATTTTTAAAAACTTTTATCTCTTCAGGATAACTACAATGTTCTTCACATATCGGCAATGTACTCGAGGGAAGACATCGTCAAATTACTGTTGTCTAAAAGAGGCGTGGATCCATTTGCTACGGGAGGTGTAAGTAGAAAAATACATAATATATACATCGGCGAAGTTCTTTAAATTATACAAACTACCAAGCGTATTTAATTATGTAATGCTTGCAAATAACAGAAAATTGTAAAGTATATTGTTTATTATTGAATAACGTTAGTCATTGTTTATGAGTTTGGTTGAAGAAAGTACAGTACAGATTTTTTATTTTTATTCAACGTCTATATTATTTTTGGGTGACTTACAATTATTATCAATATTTCTATTCCTATTAAATACAATGACTGTAACTTAAAATTAGATTATAGCCGAAAACAACGTACCAAATCAGATTAGATCAGACCTAGATTAATGCGAAAATTTACTTTAAGAGTCGGCAACAAACAGCAGTTCACTTGGTGTCAAGCAGACAGACAGGCACGGCAACATCTATTCTTCGAGCTTTACTTACAGCAGCTGGAAAGGATATTCGACTGAGACCTGATGGAGTAAGTATCATAATTATTTTTTGTTTGCAACACACTGAGCTGAAGTTTAGGTTTTAAAATAAGTATGTCGTTCTAATATTCCGCGATTGGGGAAAGGATAATGGATATGCTTACAATAAGGAGTATTTTAATTATCTTCAAACCTTCGATAATTTGAAAAAAAATTATAACATTTATATGATAATCAAATGCAATTTTGCTTTACTCAGACATATCGATGTAACAGTGAGGTCGTAGAAACCAATAAACTATCAACTTTATTATGATATTCAGAGGGTATGGATTGTTTGTATCATGTCAAATGGCTGATGCAGTATTGGTCACGATTATCGCGTGCAGGCTTCACTCGTCTTTCGCCTGGCACCGACATCCCCAATCAGGAACTGCCTCCACGCTTGTAAACAAACCCTACCATTTTACCCGTTTAAAGACAAAAGAAATTCCATTCTATTTTATGCAAAACTATCAATCAAGTTAGCCACATTCCTTCTACACGCATGCAATTTGAATGTAAGAATTTAAACGCGAAACAGGCGTGTATAAGACATTCCGCTACAACCCTGCAACCCCCCCACGAATAGTAACTAGCTAATTAACCTAAGCTTTGCCGAGTTAAACGTCACCACGCAAAATTTACAATGCAAATCACCCGCGGAATATTAGTTATAACGTCAGCGGTGAAATTCAAAATTAGTTATTTTAATACAATAGGTCTCAGTCCGCCCTACGACACGAATAGAGAAAGCCACATTTACCATGTCCCGGTAGAACTTTGTTTAGTGATGATGGATGAACAAGTACGTATAAAGGAACTGACTGGTTCCACTAGTCTAACCGCATGCGAGGAGCAATTTCAAAATCGATTTCGTGTTCTGCCAAATCGAATGCACATAAGTAACATTTTTCGAGTGTGATTTAGAACTTGCAGTGATACCGCACTGCCGTGAGTCCGCGAATAGACATTGCACCGAATGGAGTTCTTGAGTGTAAATTTGCGATGTCTGAAAATGATAAAAATATACCGAGAAGCGCGAATCTGCGCTCAGGAAGCCCTCCCATGAACTTGTCAAAAGACTTGCAGAAGCTCGAGTTGAGTTACATCGAGCTGAACAAAGAACGAGCTCGTTTAAAAGAATGGAAAAAGCTAATTCGCGAAATGGTATTCCAGAGAGGTAAAATCCCGCTGCTCTTGTCCGTGGAGGCCGGCAACCAGAGCATGGTTCGAGAACTCCTAAGTGCGCAGACGGCTGAACAGTTGAAGGTAATCATTTTAGTAACATGAAGTTTATAATACGCCAAGTTATAAAGAAGAGGTCGACGGTACATAATTGTTTATATTTAACGAACCAACAAGGGTAATGTGTATAAGTATTGTTAATTACAAAATTTTAATCACTTTTTGTACATATTCTACGCCCTATTTACTCCTAACCTTGAGACTTATAAAAGTTAGTCAATTTATTTGTTTTGACATAAACCTATGGTAAAGCTTTCATACAATATACTTAGTTTTGTGAACGTTGATCTTTTAAGTCCCAGTACCGTTCTGCATCACAAGTAGGTGATCGCTCCATTGTACACATGTTAATTAGGAGACACGCAGGTTACCTCGCAATCAAGTCTTGATCGAAACTCTGATTGAAGCTGTGGGGATTAAACGCATAACCTACAGGTCGAGAACGCACGTTTTAACAATTCTCAAGCTGCTAAGTTTACATTTTCAATCTTAGTCTTGAGTATACCAAGTTTAATATGGAAGATTGGCCAAAACAAACAGACAGACAGAACACAAAAAGACATCACAAGACAGACCCAACAATAATTACTCAATTAGTTAAAAAAATTATTTAACGACAAATCTTTCCAGCAAGCACATTTTTAACGAAGAACTATAAAATTTTAATAACGTCCAAACATGTTCTTGTAGTCATCAACACCAGCTGGTGACACAGCACTGCATTTGGCCGCAAGACGGCGTGATGTTGATATGGCTCGTATTTTGGTGGACTATGGGGCCCTAGTCGATGCAGTCAATGGTGCCGGTCAGACATCGTTGCATATAGCTGCTGCTGAAGGAGATGATGCTCTAGTCAAATACTTCTACGGCGTTCGGGCGAATGCTGCTATTGCGGATAACGAAGGTTTGTACACCGATGTATATTTACTTGTGCGTTGTATTGTTTTTTTTATATTTGATTATAATTTGCTTATACTGTTAATTTATTAATAACAAGCATGCTTTATTTTATTAGCAGGCTATTATATAAAAGATTAAAAGAAAACAAATAGTACACAGATCCCAATTGTGTTCGTAGTAAAATTGTGATATTTTAATAAATTTTACGATTAGATCGGACACCGATGCATCTAGCTGCGGAAAATGGTCACGCGGCTATCATAGAACTTTTAGCGGATAAATTCAAAGCCTCGATATTCGAGAGAACGAAAGATGGAAGTACTTTGATGCACATCGCGTCTCTCAATGGACACGCCGACTGTGCAATGATGCTTTTCAAAAAAGGAGTTTATCTACATATGCCAAATAAGGTATGTATCCCTATTAGCTTAAGGAATGAAACCCGAAATGATTATTGTTTCCCTGGGAGTCAAACACAGGATTGGTACCATCTGAATTCCAAAAATAAATAGATTTTGGTTGATAATGTTATTTATAGCCATAATATATACAAAGGTAGTAAAAGCTGATTACGCTTAGTCACAGGTAACTGATAGCCTGAAAAGAAAATATTATATATTAAAAAAGTAGTAACTAAAACATACCAATGTGATGTTATTAATAATTTTAGTGATCCTAATTTTTTTAGTTTTTTTATTTATTTATTTTACACTTCTTGTCGCACAATTTTAAAAATATCACTAACGAAATACTAAAACATATAAAATTATACAGCCTACAAAATATTCAATTAATAGTAAATAATTATTTAAAAAATATAATTAACAATTCTATCAGTATGCTGTAAAGTTTTTGTGTAAAAACCTATATGTGTATTACAAGCGTACACACACACATATAGGTTTTACACTCTAATTTTATTCGACAGATTCTGTAAGTCTTTCGGGCCGTAAAGTTCGTAGAAGATTTGCACCGTTAAAAATGCTATACTTGAAGTACCTTTAGAGACAATTTAATCGGATTCTGGTTCGTATAATCAGTTGGGCAAAATTGGGCAAATTGTTTAGATGAAGATAAGTGGTTTTTTAGGTATTCCCTAAAGATAAAGAAAGTAAATATATATGCGTAAATTTTCCGCATCACTATCAGATACGTGATTACGCTAACTTTAGTTTTAACATTAAAGTCTTTGTCCTTGACTAGCCAAGAAATTACGGCATTAAAACGTTCTACAAGAGTTAATACGCAGTAAAGTGTGCATTATTTTTAAAGCAAACCCGACCTCGTAAGCATTAGTTAGCATTTAATTTAAATAAATATTATGTGCAAATATTACTGCGAATGGTAAATTTCAATAACAAGATAAACCTGTCCTTTACTAAACGACAGCATTGCTCCTACAAAATATTGGTCTTTAAGATAAACGTACATTATTATTATTATGTATATAAACACACTAGCAGCTTAATAAGCTGATGCGCGTGTATTTTGAGATTTGGAGAAACTATATATTTTAAAAAGAGTTCAAAGATGGTGCACTTATTACACTTTCCGGAAGCCTATTCCAGTCGGCCACTACTCGGTTTGGTAGAAAGTTCTTTAGGGAATTTGTGTTATGTTGAGTGGTCTTCAGTTTTAAAGAACTACCCCTAAAATGTGTATTTTCACTTAAAATAAAGAGCTTCTCAATTCCTGGAACATTATAGTGGCCAGTGAGGATTTTATAGGTTTCAATGAGATTTCCTCTTAATCGCCTACTTCGTCAGTGCTTTCCTATTCAGAAAATTGTTAAAGGTAATAGAGATCATAGAGAATAGAGAAATCGGAGTCAAGAGTTGTGTTTGTGTGTAAGGGTCAATAGATCAATAAGAAGTTAAAAAATAATGAAACTGACTAGGTTAGGACGTTAAAAGTACGGGTTGTAATTTATATTCAATTGAATTGTATTCCACCCATTGGGGGAAATGTGTGGTGGCCTAATTCTTTATGCTGAGCTAATACTTAGTTTGCATAATACGTTTCAGGATGGAGCTAGGAGCATTCACACCGCAGCAAGATACGGCCACGTTGGCATTATAAACACGTTACTACAAAAAGGGGAGAGTGTGGACGTTACTACTAACGTAAGCCAATCTTTTTTTTTACTTAATTTTAATTAATATTGACTTTAATTGAAATAGTATATGGGTCACCGGTTTACCTGAAAGATAAGTAAACAGAAATCAAATTATCGAATATAAACCGTGATACTATTTACTTTAGATCATCATTTTATTCACTAACGTCACACTCAACTATAACGGAGATTTTTTTATTATATTTATTAAACTAGTGTCCAATGTGAAAAACATAGATGGTATCGCGATTAATAATATTTTTCAGGATAACTACACCGCACTTCATATAGCAGTAGAGTCATGTAAGCCGGCTGTCGTTGAGACGCTGTTGGGATTTGGTGCTGATGTCCACATTCGTGGTGGAAAACAAAGAGAGACTCCTCTTCACATCGCTGCTAGGATACCTGATGGTTTGTATCATGGCTTTCTTATCATAAAAACTTCACTGAGTCCCTTATATAATTTAAAAAAAAATTTTTTTATTTGGTTTAAAAACTTCATCAAGAAAAAACAGAAATTCTTCAGAGATACACACTACTTTAAATTCTTTACTCACACACTTAAAGATATCAATAAATGTTTCAGGTGACAAATGTGCACTGATGCTGCTAAAGTCTGGAGCAGGACCAAATAAAGCGACAGAAGATGGTATGACACCGGTACACGTAGCAGCGCGGCACGGCAACCTCACTACGCTTGTGCTTTTATTGGAAGATGGGGGTGACCCTTTAAGAAAAACAAAGGTATACTTTGATGTAGCCAGGTTCAACGTGGCATAACTTAATAAAATCTAAAATAATTAAAAATGCTTTCCTATAATATATTTTTTATTAACAGAGCGGCGAGACACCTCTTCACATGGCGTGTAGAAGTTGCAAACCAGATATCGTTCGGCATTTAATAGGATTCGTAAAAGAACATAAAGGAGAAAAAATTGCCACTATGTACATTGACTCAGTTGATGAAGATGGTGCGAGTGCCTTACATTTCGCGGGACAAATAACTAAAGAGGAAGTAAAAGTTCCTTCAGCTGACCGAGAGGTCGTCAAATGCTTGATGGAAAATGGAGCTGATGTTTCCTTACAAACAAGACATAACCAAGAAACAGCATTTCATTTCTGTGCAATCGCGGGAAATAATGACGTACTTACTGAAATGATAACCGATATGTCAACGGCCGATGTCAGTAGAGCTCTAAATAAACAAAATTCAATCGGGTGGACGCCATTATTAATTGCTTGCAATAGGGGACACATGGAACTAGTCAATACATTACTAACAAATCATGCAAGAGTGGATGTATTTGATGTTGAAGGCAGATCAGCCTTGCATTTAGCTGCTGAACATGGTTATCTACAAGTTTGTGATGCGTTACTTACCAATAAGGCATTTATTAACTCAAAGGCGAGAAATGGGCGAACCGCCTTGCATTTAGCGGCAATGAATGGCTTCGCCCATTTAGTGAAGTTTTTGATCAGGGATCACAACGCTGTAATAGATGTATTGACTTTAAAGAAACAAACACCTTTGCACTTAGCGGCCGCAAGTGGTCAAATTGAAGTCTGCAAGCTTTTACTTGAACTCGGTGCCAATATTGACGCAACCGACGAATTGGGTCAGAAGCCTATACATGCAGCCGCTCAAAATAATTATTCAGAAGTGGTTCAACTATTCCTCCAACAACATCCAAATCTAGTGATGGCAACGACAAGAGATGGTAATACTTGTGCTCACATAGCGGCGATTCAGGGTTCAGTGAAAGTGATTGAAGAATTGATGAAATTTGATAGAACTGGGGTCATATCAGCGCGGAATAAATTGAATGATTCCACACCGTTGCAATTGGCCGCGGAAGGTGGTCACGCAGATGTTGTAAGAGTATTAGTAAGGGCTGGAGCCTCTTGTACCGATGAGAATAGAGCTGGCTTAACTGCTGTGCACTTAGCGGCTGAACATGGTCATACCAACGTATTAGACGTCATGAGATCAACTAATACTTTAAGGATATCAAGTAAAAAGTTAGGTTTAACACCTCTTCACATAGCCGCCTATTATGGACAGGCAGGTAATAACTACCTTATTTGTATTTACATAATATAACTATCATTTTTTACCTACCAGTATTGATATCATTAAAATTTTCAGAAACGGTGCGAGAACTGTTATCTCATGTACCCGGGACTGTAAAGTCGGATGCTCCTACAGGAGTATCGTTAGTCCCAATTTTGGGGGCAGAATCTGGTTTGACCCCTTTGCACTTGGCTGCATATAATGGGAATGAAAATGTTGTGAGATTGCTACTCAACTCTGCAGGTGTGCAAGTAGATGCCGCTACTAATGAAAATGTAAGTAATTGAAAAACTTGCTTTAACTAAATTTAAATAACTCGACGTTTTGGGTTGAAGGGCACATTAGGCTGCCCATAAAATATCAGAGAAACATGAATACACATTTGCGTAATCTTGTACATTCTTCAACCCTAGCTTATGGGATGTATTACCGTTTCAGGGCTATAATCCCTTGCATCTAGCATGTTTTGGTGGACACATGTCAATTGTCGGGCTTTTGCTCAGTAGATCGGCAGAATTACTTCAGAGTACAGACAGACATGGGAAGACTGGTTTACATATAGCATCAACACATGGTCATTACCAAATGGTTGAAGTTCTACTCGGTCAAGGGGCTGAAATTAATGCGACTGATAAAAATGGCTGGACACCCTTACATTGCGCAGCAAAAGCGGGATATTTGAACGTTGTCAAGCTTTTGTGTGAGTCTGGAGCGTCACCAAAGAGTGAAACGAATCTTAACTGTGCCCCTATATGGTTTGCGGCTTCGGAGAATCATAATGACGTACTAGAATACTTACTTCACAAAGAACATGACACGCAGTCTTTGATGGATGATAAGAAATTTATTTACAATCTAATGGTCTGCTCCAAAAACCACAATAATATACCGATTGAAGAGTTTGTTTTAGTATCGCCAGCACCTGTTGATACTGCAGCAAAGTTATCTAATCTTTATATTAATTTGTCTACCAAGGTAAAACACTTTTTTCTTACTTTATTTTCCTATTTAAATGAATTAATAAAACAAATAAAATATTAAATTTTTCATAGGAGAAAGAGCGTGCCAAAGACCTAATAGCTGCTGGAAAGCAATGCGAGGCAATGGCGACTGAATTGTTGGCCTTAGCGGCCGGTGCTGATTCTGCGGGTCATATTCTAACAGCCACTGATAATAGGAATATTGAATTTCTAGACGTTCTAATTGAGAACGAGCAAAAGGAAGTCATAGCACACACGGTCGTCCAGAGATATCTCCAGGTAAAAAATAGGTAACTTCACCTATTACGATTACAGTATTCATCTTAATTTTTGTTTTATTTTCTGTGTAAAACCTTGCTAATGAAAACGCTGTAAAAATTTCAATCTTGTTACAGGAACTGTGGAGAGGAAGTCTTAAATGGACGGGCATCAAAATAATGTTCCTTTTCTTTATTTTTATAGTTTGTCCGCCAGTGTGGCTAATCTTTTCCCTTCCATTAGGTCATAAATATAATAAGATACCTATAATAAAATTTATGTCGTATTTAACGTCTCATATCTACCTTATGATATTGTTAGCTTTAGTCGCCATAACGCCAATTTATAATTCAATATTTAGGGAAAGTTTAGTTCCAAGATGGTATGAGTGGATTCTACTTATCTGGCTAAGTGGTCTTCTATTATTCGAACTTACGAACCCCAGTGATAAATCAGGTTTAGGTTGGATAAAAATTGCAGTATTATTATTAGGGATGGTGGGTGTTGCGACCCATGTGGTCGGCTGGATATTCGTTTTACCCAAGTATTGGCCGACACTCATGTACTGTAGAAATCAATTTTTCGCTCTGTCATTTCTTTTAGCTTGTGTACAAATTTTAGACTTTTTATCCTTCCACCACTTGTTCGGTCCGTGGGCCATCATCATAGGTGACCTTATGAAAGATTTAGGTAGATTCCTCGCAGTATTAGCCATATTCGTATTCGGATTTTCAATGCACATAGTCGCATTGAACCAGCCTTTCAGAAATATTAATAAGCCTGAAGATAATAAATACGCTAGAACAGCAAGGAGAAAACTATTTTCCGACGGTAAGGGCTTTTTTTATAAATTTTCATGTCATCATTGTACTTTTAGATTCGGAAATAAGAAATGCTCATTATAATTTCAAATTCAATGTTTACGTATAAAAATAGTTTGGACTATTTACAATAGATAGTCTCCGAACGAAAAGACAGGCATGGACAGCCTCAGGGGAATCATATCGACGAAAACAAGGTCCAGTGGGACGTAAGTCCTAGAAGCAAAAATAAATTGTGACAGTTTTTAGATGACACTTTTTTGCAGTTTCATTCATACTGACTCTACCACAATGTGCTTCTACACGTATTTGTGTGCCATCTGCTTACAGGCTTTAATATGTGTCGTCATCGGGAATGATTTCATTTTCAATGTGAATAAAAAGTCTCAAAACCATAACCATATCACACAGTGGAATGTATTGAGTCTGTGTACCATTTAAACACCAATTTTATGCTATTATCATAATTTATGACATACTGGTATACGCATATCGTAAATTATGATTAGAAATGTTAGCTATAGTTAAATGTTAATTGATGTAGGCGTATAATATACGTTCTGCCATAGTCTCGTCGTCGACGTTTAGTTCACCAAAATTAAATTGGCAAATTCCAGATTCAGCTATCAGAATGTACGTTATACGTCGAAATCTAGTTTTAGTGGAATGAGTGGCCGACTTCACCGCATTTGATGGAGCATATGATTTGCGCATGCCCCGGTTGGCTTATCCTACGTTTGTCACCGGTGTCTTGAGGTACCACTTTGTGTTCCGATATGTTTGGCTAATGTCTTCGTTGTGGCGTTGTTATGCGCCCACGCTAATTTTGTCGCTACACTGGTAGATGGGACTGGGGTAAATTGATGCAGACATGTCAGTATCGCTATGTATTAGTTTATTTTACAATTGTAACTATAAAACGACACACAACACATTCAAGTTTTACAATATTTTTACAAAATATCAATCTACCCCAAGCTTACACATTAGAGAAATACAGTCACAATCGTATTGTACCATACAGTTACCACCTTTTCAAACATTAAAAACGTAAATTTTTGTTAGACTAAGTTTTGGGGTAATTTGATGCAACAATGTGAGCATGTCTGCTTCAACGTACCCCAGCGATGTTAACGAGAACAAGGTCCATTCGCGTATTGGTTTCTAGCGACATTGTCACCCATCGAGGCGGTGGAGAAATTGTTCTTTGCCCTATTTGGGCAGACCACTCTGTCTGACTTGAACTACATAACGAGTGTGCGACCTCTCTGGACCCAAAACCTGTTCAAGTTTGTCTTCGGTGGCTACTTGTTGATGTCGGTGGTGGTGCTCATAACGCTCCTCATTGCGATGATGTCGGACACTTATCAGCGGATACAGGTAAATGTGCTGTCAACTGTCAATAATTGTTCACAGTGACTATGAACCCAGTGTTTTCGTTCGAGCTTCTTTTCTTCGCGGTGTTTGGGCAAACGACCACAGAGCAGACGAGGGTGCATCGTAATGATAGCAACACCCAACCGCAATGGACAAATTATTTATTCAAAATAGTATTCGGGATATATATGCTGGTGTCAGTTGTAGTGCTAATCAACTTGCTGATTGCTATGATGTCAGATACATACCAACGAATACAGGTGAAATTATTCAAAAAAATATCAATAATTTAATAATTAAAATATCAATAAACGCTTAGTTATATTTGCATAGCATTTAAATAATTATTTAAGATGCAAATTACTAAACTGCAGATAATTGGTACCTTTTTATATAATACTTAATTAAAAATACAAGTATTTCAATATAAAAGTCGTCATTAACGTACTTGAACTAAATAAATATATATATATACATGCAATTGTTATATTTTATAATAAAATAATAATAATTAATATTAATTTCCTCTGAACTAATAAAAGTATATTTATACTTAAGATAGATACTTAAGATATTTATCTTAACTTATACTTCCCATCACAGTCAAAATGGGGAAAGTTATGAATGTTTATCAAGGTTAAACGATATAACTTTCCAATCAGCTATCACACTACTATTATAAACTTTGCAGGCGCAATCAGATATCGAGTGGAAGTATGGATTGTCTAAACTAATCCGAAACATGCATCGGACGAATACGGCTCCATCACCGCTCAATCTAGTCACGACGTGGCTTATGTGGCTGATACATCGATGTCGGGTAAGCTCTTAATGTACAAAAGGTTTATCAACCATACAATATTATTTAACAACACTATCTACGTACAGAGTAAATAAAGATTATACACTTACATATTATACAGTGGCGTAACAATAGGGTGGCAGGGCTGGCAAAATTCCACGGGCCCCCGACTCAAGGGGCCCCTGCCCAAGAGTTCTTGGAGAGATATTATGTTCTCTGGATGAATGTGAAATCTCCAATACGCATTGGGCTAGCGTGGGGAGAGACCAGCCTCTAGCTGAAGGGAGGAGCCATCTCCAAAATTTTTTTTCAATGACCACGTGTAATTGAGTTCGCTGAAAATCTCGAAGTTAATTAAAATTAAACTGAGAAGGGGCGATTTTTACTGATAGGACCCCATTAAAAGAATCGCAACGAAAGAAAATTTGCCACGGGCCCCAGATGGTATAGTTACGCCACTGATATATACATTTATAAACATAATTTATAAATTCCGAAATCTTCTAAGAGGGCTTGGAGCAGACACGTGCCTGCATCTGTGTCATTGATCAGGATCAGATCTCTTTATAGATTCTATCTTTCTTCTTGAAATGGTCTTTTAAGTCAGAAACGTGCCGGTTTTGTTTTCATAAATACTAATTGTCCTATTTTCAGGAACGTTTATCGAAAAAGAAACGACCCAGTCTAGTGCACATGGTAGGACTGCAAAGACAAGACCAGATGAGCGCGAGGTCAAAGGCCGGTGCCAAATGGCTCTCGAAAGTTAAGCGTGGCCAAGTTGTTCCAAAAGGTATACCTTAGAACAATATTTATTATTCTCGTAACAAATATATAATCTATTAGTTAGGTCGCATCGTAGGATTAAATCATTAATAAATGAAACAAAATTAACGATAAAATAACGAAGCCTTGTAACTTGATTAAGTAAACTGAATGTTATAATATCTAAGTATCGATGTACCCTTAAACATACCTTTATTACTTAATTTATTACAAAATTTTATGAAAACAAAAAATAAATAAAAAGAACAGAAAAACAATAACTAACTAACAGTAGCTGCCAGCTCTTCGGTCTCCTGTGATGTCGACTAACCTTTTTGATATTTCCTTATAGCGCTAGGACCCCACGGACCAAGGGTCTTGACACTGAATGGGACAAAACCATAATATAAGATAATATCTAAGTAACTGTTTGTGTGCAGTAATTTTTTGTTTTGTCTGTGACCTTATGTCACATAATACCGATACCATTAATATATTCAGTGTCGCTACAACCCTCTAAGGCTGCTGCCTCGAATTTTGCGGGCAGCGGGGCGGCGGCGGCTGCGACGCGGGAGCGGGCGATTGCACCTCTCGTTACCCGCCCTCGCACCGCTGCCACGCCGCTGTTTTCGAGAACCGGTCCATTTGATTTTACGCATAAGATCCTGCCGCTGATGATCCTGCAGCCTTACAGTCAACCATTTTACAATAAAATTATGTTACAATAATATCAAATAAAAATTATTTCAGATTCAACTCGACTTTCCGTCGTCCACCTTAGTCCACTCGGCTCTCAGCTAAGCTTCAATAACATGACAAGGATAGAGAATGTAGTAGACTGGGAGATAATAGCGAAGAAGTACAGGGCGTTGACAAGGGATGAGCCGGAGGAACCACTTGCTAAGGACAGTGATACAGATACAGCCGAAAGCGAGTCGGAAATCGTACCGAATAATATAGCGGCCGTTCCTCCTTGAACTGTCTAATTATTTATATTGAAATATATACAAAACAAAATTAAATTTAACATTTCAAAAGCCGATCTTTCTATGAAATGGAAAATGTATAACACTAGATTGTATCATTAAAATCTGTATTTATCTGTAGAAATGTGTATTTATAAATTCTGAATCAGTGTTTTTGTTACCTAAACCAATGATTTTTCTCCTTTCAACATCGTAAAAAGAATGAGCGGTTAAATGTATTAAGTCTGATTTGGTTTCAATAAATATTTAAATTATTATTTCCTCTGTATAAAAATAGCCATATGAAAACATCAGCCAGCAGAATTGCTTCGAAATCCAAGCCTTAAAAATATTGAGACTTTAAAATACATTATGTAAATATTAGTCTTATATTAGTTCAATAAGCTTTTGTAGTTTATATGTAATTAATAGTAGTTGTAAGAATTAACGTAACTGTTTTTGTAAAAACGAATGAAATATTTACATAAAGTATTTATATACCTAATAATAATTTCAATTAAAATATAATTTTAAAAGATATTTCTTGATTTTTATTAATACTGTCCATGTCTGTGAGCTGCATCATTTCAATTTACCAGTAGATCATATATTAGGTCCTTACATATGAAATTGGCGTATTTCGTACTGGCCACTTTAATCACGATGTTCTCCTCTTTGGTAAGGAATTCCAAATTCAAATTTGTACAGCTATTTACTCATGTATTTGTGCTTCGATGACCGTCATTCATTTGTTTTTTTCTGTTTGCGTCCCTCATTTTACAAAATGGAAAACTTAAAGTATCGCATTATTTACGAGTACGAGTTCCGCCGTGGCACTAGTGCTGCGGAAACGACCGGAAGGGTGAATGATGTGTATGGCAGTCATGTTGCAAAAGAAAACACAGTTCGTTTTTGGTTCCAACGTTTTCGTTCTGGAAATTTCGACCCGCAGAACAAGCCCCGTGGACGGCCTGAGACCCAAGTTGATAATGAAGTATTGAAGGCTATTGTGGAAGCGGATCCATCGCAAACCACGTCCGAGTTAGCTGCAGGCTGCGGTGTTAGTGATAAAACTGTTATAATTCACTTGAAGCAAATTGGGAAGATTAAAAAGCTTGAAAGATGGGTACCTCACGAATTGACTGAAGCAAACCGGCAAACGCGCGTCGACTGCTGCGTTACATTACGAAACCGGCACAATAATGAAGGTATTTTAAACCGAATTACCTGTGATGAAAAATGGATTTTTTACGATAATTTGCGAAAGCGCTCAGCGCAATGGTTGGATCCTGGCCAGCCAGCCAAATCCTGCCCCAAGCGAAAATTAACCCCAAAAAAGTTACTTGTAAGCGTTTGGTGGACTAGTGCCGGTATTGTTCATTGCAGTTTTCTCAAATCTGGCCAGACTATTACGGCTGATGTCTATTGTCAGCAATTGCAAACCATGATGGAAAAGCTAGCGGCTAAACGACCTAGGCTGGTCAATCGCTCCACGCCACTGCTACTTCACGACAACGCTAGACCACACACTGCACAACAGACGGCTACCAAATTAGAAGAGCTTCAATTGGAATGTCTAAGACATCCTCCGTACTCCCCGGACCTTGCTCCAAAAGATTACATTTTTTTTCGAAATTTGGACAACTTCTTGCAAGGGAAAAAATTTAACTCTGATGGGGCAGCCCAAATCGCCTTCACAGATTTTATTGATTCCCGTCCGACTGGTTTTTTTAGTAATGGGATCAATGAGATGGCAAAAGTGCATAGAAAACAATGGTTCATACTTTGATTAATTAAATATATTATATTTAAAAATATTCGACTTTTTGTTCCTCCCATACAAAACGCCAATTTCATATGTAAGGACCTAATATTTACGAGTGGTTCACAGTTTTCATTGCAATAATTTTCACGTGACTTGCGACCAAAAGCTTTTATTGGGCAAAATAATATTAAAATAAACCATTGTCATACATAGAGAGATGTAATAGGGAGATGCCATAGGACCAAAACTGTAAAAGGGTTATTTTTAATTATATCAGAAATATTTACATCTATTTAAATACAATGACTAAATTAAATTACAAGAATCGAACTTTTTCTTTATTCAAATTACCTTTATTCAAATTAGTGTACAGGGTAGTTTTATCGTTATTTGATGATATTATAATAACCATTTTTAGTGATTTAAATTTAAAAAATTTATTGAAGTTTATTATTTTTTATACTTACATGAACCTCCACTAGACCCTTAATAATAATTAATAATATATTATGATTTTCCTAAAACTACACAAATCTAACATCATCATTTATTTATATTGTTCATGCACACGTAAATCTTATTTAGGCGTTTCTGATCACATTATTTTTTGCCTATAATATCTTTTGATTGAGTTGAATATATATTTAATAAACATAATGACATAACTTTTTTTCACAATTTAGTAGTTCAGTCTTGAAAATGCGAGTAACAGAGGTTTTATAGTAGGTAACTGTTTTTAGTCTAATTTATTGGACTGTGAGTGCTAAGCGCACTTTACTACAGAAACAAACATTTCTATAGAAAAGTTACGAAAATCAATTTACACTGGCTTTAGAACCCGGTTTATTTAACCTATATGTCATCTTTGAAACAAAATACCCTTTAGCTGTAATTGAAAAAGCATACTGTATAATCTGTGTAATCTAATTAAACAAATTCATTTCGTTTTATGAGGTGCGATACAGGATAATTATCTTTTGTATCGTTTATAAAGAGCGCAATAGGCTAGATTTTATCATTAATACATTTTCTATTAGAGTTGCAGTTAAATAATAACAATAATGTTAAATCGGATTTTATTCATATGTTTCTGTAAGTAAACCGCATATAAGATTGTATGCAGACGGCATATATATCTTTATATCGTATGTGATTTTAAGAAGGGGCCTTTCGGATTTCTTTCTTTGATTGTATAAGTAACTACACAATGGGTAATCTTTTTTTCAGGTCTGTATTATGCTGATGCTGCGAGCCTGTGGCTTTTTGAAAGGTATTTTAATTTTATTTACATTTCTATTTACCCATAAGTGAATTATTTCATTATATAACTATCTTAAGATTAATAATCATATTGACATGGCATGGTACGTAACGTATTAATTGCTTTTCTATTCGTTAAGGAGTTTTATTTCTTTACTTCCACTGTCATTTATATGGAGATACCTGTTTTAGCCCAACAAATATAAGAATGGTGCCGCTTACTGCCCCTGAAAGACTACTAGATCCACCGTTCAATGTAAAACTTTCTACCGTCATTTACGCCTTTGGTTACAATGGATCCATCAATGATAACACTACCCTACCTGTTATAAATGCGTATCTAGAATATAAACAAAGATATGATCTAAACGTAGTGTTGATGAATTGGGAAAGAGAGGCAAGAATTGTGGTCCCTCTAAACCTTATTGGCGCAGCTATACAGTATCCAACTACGGCTATTCTTAATACTAGGACGGTGAGTCAAACGGAAATATTTGCAAATACCAGATTGCATATGCTATTGATCATTTAAACCCTAGATTTAATATGTAAATTTAGACACGCTATACACGTGCTTCACAAACTCTTTATCGCAGCCAAATTGTTCATAAACGTGAAGTGCTTTTGTTCTTATTATACTATATTGATTTCATAAAACTTGTTTTTCTTCTAATTAACACAGGATCAGAAGCCAAATAAAAGACATATTGGAAATATGTCGCATGTCGATATTTGCTTCCTTGCTAAATCTGGGACATAGCTTTTATATTAACATTTTTTATAGGTGGGAGGTGAGTTAGGAGCCGCCCTTGTAAGATTGTCAGAGCTCGGACTTGATTTGGACAAAGTGCATTTAAGTGGACATTCTCTGGGTGCTCACCTTATGGGTTACGCTGGTAAAGTGACGAGAAGTAGTGGAAAAATCATACCCAGGTAAAAGCATATACAAAGAGCATTTATGTTATAATTATTTCTTTATTCTGTGTCTGCGTAGTTATACAAGAAAATATGACATTACAAAATTGTTCATACATACACATCAGTTATATTAGAACAAGGTAGCAAGGGAAAAAATGAAACAAGCAACCACAGAATAAAAAAATAATTACCAAAAAAGCAATAAAAACTAAAACTAAAAAAAAAAATACAGGATTACTGGCTTGGATCCAGCAGGACCTCTTTTTGAAGGACCTGTATCATTGGTCGGATTACAACCTGGAGATGCTAGGTTTGTGGACGTCATTCATACAAATCCTATCTTTCTCGGAGATCCAGACAGGCTTGGAGACGTTGATATACGCTTTAATTGTGACATGTTACATCAGCCTGGATGCCCAAGAAATTATATAGGTAAAAATAAATTTTAGATAGCACCAACTAAGCCATTATTATTAAAACATCTTTTATTTAAAATTCTCGTGTAGTGTGTAGTTTTCGCTTCCATACTCCTCCGAAACGGCTCGACCGATTCTTATGAAAAATTTTACGCATATTCAGTAAGTCTGAGAATCGGCCAACATCTATTTTTCATCCCCCTAAATGTTAAGGGTGGTCCAAACTTCTAAAAATATATTTTTGTCAGACATTTTTTTTGTTTTTTATTTTTTTATGATATTACATACAATATATAAATAATAATAAATATAACCCTCAATTTTTTACCCCCTACAATCATCCCTATTTTTTATTTGTTAATTAAAATCTTATGACTTGAACTCTGAGGTTTATATAGAGAAAAATTCACAGAAAAGCCTAAAAGTTTTCATTCAAGAAAACCGAACAGTCTCTAGGGTAGCATAGCAAAATGTTTCATGTTGGTATGTACTAATATGGTGGGCTAAGTACAATCACATTAAGGAGAAACTAACGTTCGCGGGGGCAGCTAGTTCTTCTATAAAAATCTTCTAATTCTGTATATTATTTCACTGACATCAATATATTATATAAAAGCCTTTAAGCGATTTAATTATTAGTTCTTTTTACTACAAATAAAAAAATATTTTTTCAGAAAGTTGCAGCCACTTTCGTGCCCCGCTTTATTTCGCTGAATCTATCAACTCTCCTAGAGGGTTTACGACTGTCCAGGCAAGAACCTGTCTTGATTGGAGGTCCGGGCGAAATAATCGAGATGGAAGGATTCTATACTGGGGAGAAAATATTGATACACAGTAAGATTTACCTAGTGTTGTATTCACGATATTGTGACATTTAATATTGTGGATTTAACCGTTAATAAACTCGCAAACGATGTTTAGCATATTTCAGAGAACGATTTATTTGAACTTAAAGCAAGCATTCAGAAAGATTAATAACTACATTAAAATGCTAGTATTTTTCAATAGGTTTTTATAAGTGTAGAAGCAATTGAACAATTATTTGAATAGTGAGTACATAATATATGCATATAAGACATACATACAGCTTAAATATTTAATTGAAAATTCTGATTGTAATTATATTTACTATAATGTTTGTATAAATGACCTCAAATGATATGAGATCCTAATTTATAAAGCAAAGCAAGTTTGATTGTTTGCAAGGAAGACACGCCTAAAATGGTGTCTATGGTGGCTTATCCAGAATATGAGAGAACAATACATTATGTCACGTAAAAATTGTGTCATAGTGTCGGCTTATTGTTACTTATTCCTAAGTTACCGTAAAATATTATTAAGGTAGTACAAATACATTTAATTGATGTCTTCATTTTTCAGGGCAAGAGGAACCTACTATATAAGGACTAATCGATCACCGCCGTTTGAAAGAGGACTTAATGGAATACGACCATAAACTAATTAATATTTAATTGTATCAGAAACTTATTTATTCCAATTATTATTCAAAAGATAAATAAAAAAGTTGTTGTATTTAGATTTGATTTTTTTCATACCATAACTTTACGTTTACGTACGTTTGACGACATTGTTCTTAGTTCACAGTTTATCGTTTAGAATATTATAATCTATATAAGTAGTCGACCCCACAAATTTTAATCTGTAATTCTGCATGTAGATTTTCGAAAGAATGACATTTTCGCAATATCCAAAGGACTCGCTGATGTCGAAATTGCATTAAGGTCGATTTACATCAAACGAGCGAATGCTCATTCTATCCCCACTACATCAAATTCTTCTAGTGTAAACAGGCGTAGAGCATTCTTTCGTTGTTCTTAGTGCTTCGCAAAGATTCTATAGAATATTCTAAGAATGCCCGTTCGCTTGATGTAAACGCGCAAGAGCGCGCGAACAGTTGCTAGAGCGTTCAGGTCGACGTGCTCGCGCCACTGAAGGTCTCTTCAAAGCGTTTATGTTCTAGATTGTTTACGTATCTTATCGATTAAATTATGGTTGGTCTCAAAAAAATATTTATTAATGTAGAAGCTACCGAAATTTCAGATGCCTGTGGGATCCGACGTATGAAAACTATAAAAATACAACTAACAAACAAGATGCTTGGCGGGAAATCGCAAAACAACTGGAAATGTAATGTCGACGAGTTAAAAAAAAAGATGGACTCGCTTCTTGCATCTTATCTTTCTTTTATTTTTGAGTTTTCGCGACAAAATAATAAATGCAGCACTTGCAATAATGATATCGCTGTCATCAGACATAACGAAGCACTACCAATACTAACCACAGAATTGACACGGAATGAGCAAAGAACATTCGATTTAGCTTTTTTTACAAATACGAAAGAATGCTCTTGTTCTAGCTCTAGCTCTATGTTCGTTTGATGTAAATCGATACCTCTAGCTTTCGTTTACACTAAAAGATTACGAAAGAATGCTCTTGTTTTAGCTCTAGCTCTATGTCTCGTTTGATGTCGAAATCGCCTTAAACGAAAACTAGGATAACGTTCCTAAATCCTATCTTTCACCAATTTTACAAAAAACATTACCAAGAATAGATTAAAGGCATTATGAAATATTAATATTTAACTAGTTCCATTAATTAATATAATTAATATTTTTACAATGATATGTAATAGTAACTCCTTATGAAACCAAAAATATACTTGGCATGGCAATAATCTAAAAATATCTAGACACATGCAAACCTAGTAAATCTGCGTTGAGTAACATTTTTGCATTTTGTGTCGTAATCACCAACAGACAAAAGCCACAGAAATATTAAAAATGATACTTTTTATAAATTTTATGTATTCGTTAAAAAGTAGTACTCGTGTATTGAAAGAATATAAAAAGAGTGTATTACGAATGCGCGAGATTGCGTAAGACAATATATAAAACAATAATATTATTCTAACTGTTCGCCCAGTTTTTAGAGTATTTAATCATATTTAGGAGTGAAGTTCTATATATTGGCATTACGTTTCGTTGTGTTTGAAAGATAAATAAATAAAAGAAAAAAAAAAAAAAAACACACACCCCACCCCAAAAAAAAAAGTTGGGGCCCCCCCCCCCCCGGCGAAAAAAGAGGGGGTGGGCGGGGGGAAAAGCCGGCGGAAAAAACTCTCGGTACTCTGTTACCTTTCCTCATATCGAAAAGGTGATCACTGATCAGCCTTCTGTCTTTTTAACCCTGAAGCATAGGACAGGGTTGTACGCGTCAGTCGTTACTATGTCAAATAGCCGACTAGAAGAATTGTCAATAAAACGCATAATTAAGATTAGCCGAGCCGAAAGATAACGGACAATTAGTTACATATGACTGCTTAGAACATAGTTGTTTTGTTAAGTCAAAGCGTTTATATTTATGAACAATTAATTATGAAGACTCGATAATAATCTTTAATAAGAAGTAAATTGTAACCAAAAAATTTAAATAATAATATTATTAATACATAAATATAATATAATACTGAAGTTTAACAACAACTATCTACTGTTAATGAATTTTTAAATGTAAGTACTTCAAATGTGTTGCTGTGGTAGTTTTTACAAGCAAAAACTATAAATTGTTAGCAAAATCGGGAAATAAAGAAACCCGGCTCAGTTACTTGGTTTGATCCTTTCAGACCGCGCACATACCTTATTTAAAGTCAAATCAACCAAAATTACTAATAACGTAAAACATAAAAACCTAATTAACATAAGCAATTTTTTCGCCTGAGTGGTTTCGTATGAGAGGGTTATTATGTAAATGACAATGACGTAAGTGATTTTGCGTGTAATTTTAATTTTAATTATTAATAATTTTATTAAATTTTATAATTCACATCGTATAGTTTCATCGAGTTTTTATGATTTTGATAGGATTACTGGGCCTTGGTCCACCAGGCAGGCTGGACCTCTATTTGAAGGATAATCCGACTAATGAGAGTACAACCAGGAGATGCTAGGTTTGTGGACGTATTTGAACTCCAGACAGGCTTGGAGACATTGATATATGCTTTAATCCGTTTTAGGTATATGTAGATACATTTTAGAAAGCACCAACAAAGCCTTTATTATAAGTACATACTTCTAATTAAAAATTCTAACTCTACTGATTTCACAGTCACTATATAATTTATAAAAGTCTTTAAGCGACTAATTAAAATCAGTAGATTATATATTTTTTATATAAGTATAGAGACACTTGAACAATTATTTGAATATTACATTAAACAGTATATTATACGTATACTACATACATACAGCTGAATTATTATATGAATTGTTAGTTTTTAAATATTTAGTTTTCTTAAATTTGTTTTGTTTAAATGCAAAAAGTTTTGCGTTTTACAGTCGTAATCCTGCCTTCTAATATATTTTTTGCAACAAATAATTAAAATACATTCTAATTACTGTAAGTTTTGTTTAATTACTCTTGTAATTAATTTTACTACTACTACTAACAGCCTACATCACCGCTTGCGCAATATCATAAAATTATATTTATTTATAATATTTTTTTGAGCACTCGATTGAAAGAAAACTATATATTTATGTATCGTTTATACATAACATTTTCTTTTTTCTATATTTTAACATTATAGAATGAACTTGATATCTCATATTAGGATTAATTTACCCAACAAAGCCATTTGATTTGCTTGACGTGCGTACATTCGGCTCATAAGAAACACAAATCATTATTATTTCTTAAGTTATATATCTGTAAAGCCATCCAATTGTTATTATTATGTGTATGTATGACATATATTACACGTTGCTGTTCTTAATTATTTTTGATAAGAAAACTATTGTTCGTTCAAAAGCGACATTTTCTATTCTCTCCCAATTTTGATACTTCTGCCAACATGATTTATCGCCTGTTTGTGATATTTATCTGTAAGTCTTCTTAGATATAGATTTAAATATATTAATATTTTTTAAGTATATTGTTTATATATTTAACTTATAAAATAAAAATTGTTTTTTTCAGACTTCAATTATGCACAGTCAGCAAGTTTGTGGGTTTACAAAAGGTAGTTTTTTAAATATTGCTAGTTTGTTAATTAATAGTTTTTGTGGAAAGTAATTTATATAATATTAATTCGATAAATAATGTTAAAGGGCTGTTAAAATATCGTTTTAATCTAATAATTAATCAGTTTGTCAAATATGGTGACTATCGTTAATGCTGTTTATAGTAAAGACACTATCTTCTTCTACCAAACCCTAGAGTTACTGAATTTGTTAATGTTTTCCATTCAGTTCATCGAGGTTTTTTGAGCCTAGTTCACCGTACTAACTGTATCTTTTACCAACCCCATACTTAATTCAACAAGAATAATGATTGGAATTAATTCCTTCCTAACCAAATAAATGTTGTTAGAATTATTTATTAAAAAAACGAACTTAAATACAGTTAATTCAAAACTCGTATTATTTTGTAAAGAAATTGTAGCGATACCTACAATCCACGGCTACAATCACTGCGATGATGTCATACCCTGACTCGTACTATTGAAATTATTCCGACCGCTAAAGATACATACAGCTTTTCGACTTTAGCCACTGGGGCCTTCAGGCTGGCCGGTCAGTGGTTAAACTGGTCGAGGATCCCCCCTTTAGATTCGAAAAAAAAGCCGCACCGCACCGTCTTTCTCCACAAAATCTATATTTTCTATCAATTTCAGCAAAGACACTTACATATCAATACCGCTTACATCGCCGCTAGGCCTACTGAATACATCGTTTAATGTGTCGTTTGATTCTGTATTTTATGCATTTGGATTTAATGGTTCGCCTGATGGAGTCACAACTAAATCTATTACACATGCATATATGGAACTCAAAGAGAACACTGATGTGAATTATGTACTTCTTAATTGGGAAAAGGAAGCGACTAGTAAAGACGCAGGGCGCATAATTCAGTATCCAACAATAGCCATCAGAAATGTTAAGATAGTAAGTAAATATATAATTTTATGGTTGGCTTTTGATAAAACAAACAGCTCTAATAAAACTTGGAGTCTATATTTCCGCGTAATAAGCCGTCCAGGCAGGAACAAGCCATAGAAATCTTCATAATGATAATTTTTAAGATTTAAGCGAATAAAACAATTTATATATTAGGTCCTTACATATGAAATTGGCGTTTTGTATGGGAGGAACAAAAAGTCGAATATTTTTAAATATAATATATTAAATTAATCAAAGTATGAAGATTGAAGTTTTCTATGCACTTTTGCCATCTCATAGGTAGTTCATTGATCCCTTTACTAAAAAAACCAGTCGGACGGGAATCAATAAAATCTGTGAAGGCGATTTGGGCTGCCCCATCAGAGTTAAATTTTTTCCCTTGCAAGAAGTTGTCCAAATTTCGAAATAAATGGTAATCTGTTGGAGCAAGGTCCGGGGAGTACGGAGGATGTCTTAGACATTCCAATTGAAGCTCTTC